GCCGCGACTGTGATTCAGGAAGGCCGAGTGGAAGGTCGCGCGACCCTCGGAGGTTCAGAGTCATGCTTGCCATCGGGTGGGCGAGCGTACTACGAGGAACGAAAAGGTGGAGAGACGAACGACGTAATGAGGCGATAGAGAGAAGGAGAGGAGAGGTCCTCCGAGGGTCACGCAAGCGCACAGTCGCTCGTCCGGTCGCAAACTAATCGTAGGCCTGCGCATGTTGGGCTTTATGTTTCGACACTACCCCGGAATAACCGGTCGTTCGTTCCCCACCTGGACACGTTTGTACCCCACCCTTCCCGTAGGGTGCTCCTGACGCGTGTATCTGCCGCCACCTCGACGCTAACCCGGCAAGCTAACCACCCCTCCACTGCGGTACTGTACGGTACCCGCCGGGTGTCCGTCACTTGGATGGGGAACCGTGCCGAGGACGAGAGGGAGAGAGAGAGCACCCCCACGTCTCCGAGTTAAACACCTCCCTCCCACCTACCTCGTCCTCGCCGAAAACGCCGATCCAGCACTTCTCTCCGAGCAACATCGCCAACATCCTATCGCCGTACCCCACTACGCTACGGTGGACCCCCACTACGGGCGATAGCGCGTTCCGTGGTTTGTGCGTCTTCGAACGGATAGACAAGCCTCCCGTATCACGCTATTGGTGGTCGCTCGAATAAAACTGCTTTTAGCCGTTCTCTCTCTCTCACTCTCTCTCTCTCTCCTCCCCTCCCCCTCTCATCGACACCGTTTGCGGATGAGGGTGGTAAATGACGCACCCTCTCCACTCTCGAAAACAATCGGGATACAGATTCGAATTCGAATTCTCCATTTTTCTACCGGCGACCGTTTTGACGGTTGACTAATTAATTTTCTCCCAACGGTCAATGTGGGCACCGTGTTTAGGTGTTCCTTGCATCACCACTCGTTGCTACCCCCGCGATGAACGAGCCGTTACGCTCCATTCGCGCAGTCGTTATCGCTTGTACGCTTCACCTCTCATTCGTTATGACGCGAAGGTACGTGGCTCTCCGTTAATTCGCTCACAAATGATGTATATCTGACAAAATGGTTTAATTGAAATAGTCAAGGTGTCAAGGTGGTTATTTGAAAGGTATATTGAGATAAAATTGCTTAGGAAATACTGTACCGAAAGTACAATATATTTGTTAATATAAAAAAATAAAGGAAAGGAGAGCACTTTGCATCGTGCAGCAGAAACAACGACAGCTGCCTTGTAAATAGATGCATGTAATAACAACCTCGGTGAAAATTGTCCGACACGCGAGGACGATGTGAGAGCGGCAGAAACCAGGATTACGCAGGAAATGCGTTTGCGGTGTCTCACCGGGGTTTTAGGGGTAATAGGTGCAATTTTCGTCCTTCGGTTACCGTCGCTGAGAATTTCCGCAACAACACTCTTGCTAAAGCATATGTCACGTAACTGCAACTCGTGAAGAATTTAATAATAAATTTTCTAATATTTTACGCAATAGCCCTCTTTTTTTCCTGAGAGTCACATAAAATACATTTTGTTTTATAAATCAATCAGTTTAGGACCGTGTTTCAAAATCGACAAATAATCAGCTTAAGGTATACAATTTTATACGTTGCTAAAACAAGCAATTGAAACGACAAATCTCTTATTTCAGTCGCTTTTGTAGTTTGAATAGTTTCAACTATAAGGAACACGTCTACCAGTTGAAGAAATGGCAGAAGATTCATAATCCCCATGCTCGAAACCTACCAAGAGAAATCCCAACAAAACATGATAGTATACATTATACGTATAAATAAGATATTTCCATGGGGGGGGGGGGGGGTTTAAATATGTAATAGATTCATCTGTTCTAAATAATTTTAGTTGCCATAATATAGCGTTTATCAAATACGATTTGAATCGGTTGGAGAATAACGTTAAAAAAACGAATACATATAATATGTGACAACGTCATAATCGGTCAGTCGGTCATCACAGCTAAAATTATCGGAATTGTCACACAAACTCTCTTACGTTTAGACTTCCCGTAAATATCTGATCTGAACGTATATGTATACTATCTTGTGTTTACTGGGAAGCGTTAAATGCTCAAACGTTGTTATTCAACGCTGCCGCACCGTGTCGACCATGTTGACCGCGATACATATAATCTAATCTATTCTTTTTCTTTGTTGCCAGATCCAGATAAAAGGATACGGCCAAAATAACTACAGAATAATTTAATAATTACTTATAAATGCTTAATTAAACGCAAGTAACTTAATACTGCAAGTAACACGTGAAAAACACGAACAACGCATCAAATCTGTCGCTCAACTGTCAAATGCAACTCTTCTTGCTCTTTTTCACATATGTATGTACTAATGTACCTATGTATGTACAAAGTTATCGCTGAAATTTTGAGCAGCTCAAAATGCACTTTTACAGTTTGCTTGAACGGAAAATTATTTATGCAAAAATACTATTAAGCACCAAAGCTCTGTTTTGATTGAATACGGTTTTCTTCCTTGCTTATTTCTGTTTATCAACTAATATTTCTATATTTATAAGGAAATGTGCGAGTGTGAATTGTTCTGATATTTCATTAAATATAGCATCGTTTGATTCCGGGTCGGGGTTGCTAAGAGCGTGCGTCATAATAGACGAAAGTGCCGTTTGGCGTAGATACTCGAGGGATAGTTTATATCGTTCTCGCGGAAGGAAAAGTGATTTACTTGGAGGGCATAATGAGCGAGGGGTGGGAGATATGCGCGGCACGCGCTGTGATTTTGTAGCAAAGGGTGCGAAACGCTGTTCGACGATCCGGCACGCTGCGGCAGGGCCGCAAGCCCTCGTGAAAATTTACGGACCGTTGGGCACGCCAAGGTATGAGACATAAGGCATGCTGCCGCGCGGGGTGCGTGTATAGATTTATACCCCTCGTACTTTTTCCCCCACGCAATCGCGACGCTCGACGGAAAAAAGATATACTCGTTTTGCTCGTTTGCCCTGATGCGGAATGTTTGTCTAATCGCATTTTAATTCATGATTTTTGTAATCCTCGATACGCAATATGCCATGCAGAGAATTAATACATAATATCAAATTTTTTGTAAAATTATATTTTAATTAAATATTTTGATTATATGATTATTTTAATAGAATATTTTTAACAGAAATAAAATCTTTTCCAGCTTTATATGCATTATAATTGTATAATTAAATATTTTTGATTATATTAAATATGAACCACGCATTGCAAGATTTATAAAATTTCGTTTCTCGGAAGCATGTAATCCCTAGTCAAATTATTGGAAGGCTTTTTTGATAAATCTTATCTTGAATGGCCAAAAATATAATAATCATTTTTATTTTTTACATTTCTGAAGTAGGGTTTTCTCTTTTGTTCGGACATTCTCAAACTTTAATATCTCTCAACTTTAATAAAAATACAATTTTAATAATATTTATCAAATATTTATTTATATTTTTAAAGTTAAAAGATATTTGTTTTCTCAACATTTTATTAGTCACCATTATTAAAAGATTCTAATAATAATAATGTTATGTAACGTTTAAATTGAAGTTTACTCACTGACATACAAAACATATAATTTTTATATGTTATAATAGAAACAAAAAACACATTTCTTGCTGTTGTCTCTATAATTAGATGGTAACAGATTTATATTTTTGTAATGCACATTATAAGTGTGTGTATGTGATAAGTGAATTAAACAAATTCATTTTATAGACAATCTCATTTTCTTTACTTATCTCAATCGATTGGAATAACGATGTCATAATATAATATAAATCTGATTCTTAGGAGTCAATAGATTGTAAAAAGTATATAATGCGCCCAATTCAATATATGACTCGATATAGCTTGTTATATAAACGGACATATAATAATTAATACAATTACGATCATTACATTAGTACACAAAAGAATGACAAACCTTTCATTCTAAAAGTAGTTATCGTATACCAAATTGCCAATTATATTTATCACGGTTCGTCGTGCGAAATGCAGTGGCATGCTACAGGGACGTGAACGAAAGTTTATTGTCAGATTGTCACCCTCGAAGAGCAAAGGGAGAGTTTCCTATGAGAGATCAATGGCGTTTCGTGAAGGGGAAAGAAGCGAGTGAATTCGATGCGAAACGAGGGAATTCCATAATTCGTAGACCACAGTCATAGCATGCGTCTGCCCTCGTCGTAGCAACTATAGAGAGACCGGAGAAAGGCACCCAAATCTCCGCGAATGGCAAATGGAGCGTCTCTTGATTCGATAATAAAATTCATGATTGGCTAGGAATTTCGCGGAGCGAATCGAATCATCTCGGATGTTTCTATCGTCAGGCAAGTGTCTCGTCGATAAAGTGCTAATAATAGCCGCGGCATCGGAATCGAAATCGATATCGCATAGATAACTGGGGATTCTTCTCCTCTCCTGCACACGATGCTAAATTGCTCGTTTAGCTTCAAAGAGGCAATAAAGAATAACTCTGTTTAATTTAGCTCACGAAGGCGGTTATTATTATTTGTCTGCCTTAAATTGCCTGCGCTTGTGAGTCGCACCTTTATTACATCGTAAAATATCACAAATCTACAAAATATTTTTAATTATAAATTGTTCCGTTTCTTCTTCAGTTTTCTCGTAGACGCGCTATAATAATGTAAAATAACGTAATATAGTGTAGTATGTAATAATGACGGTAATGCATCCTGATGTTGAAATCGTTGATTGATAAAACGCAGCACTCGTAGAAAATACTTGACCTGTTCATGCTCTGCTGATATTCGCACCTGTACTATCTTCACTCTTGCATCGTCATTCATCGACGAGTTTCGATTTGTCTGGCTAGGCCATCGTGCGACATCGACGGAATATGCGGGCTTAACATTGGCATTTATAGTCGATTTGTAATGATCCAAGGTTCCGCAATGCCGAACTAAATACCCCTATCT